CCCCAAAACCCCAAAACCCCAAAACCCCAAAACCCCACTTACTACTGATAATTGACTATTAGGTAAATGATTAAGTGAGTAATTTTAAAAGCGCAATCTGACTACAGTGAAGTATGATTATTTTAATCATTTTCATAAGCTCATATTTAGTCTAGATCACTATTGATCTTAGAATTAGTAGCATTAGTATCTTATAAATTATCATTTCGCATTTGTTCTCTCATCATGACAATGTTAAACATTTATTAGGCATGTTATGATTAGATTTTGTTTTATAAGTCTTGTTGATCAATGTAAAGTATGTTGTTTTAATCCTAAGGAACCAAGGCATTTGAGGTCGTCAAGTTATTAAACTGTGATTTACCTTTCTTTCTCTGCTGCCTTACTCTTTCACTCTAGTTATAATGAGATTGCGGCCTTTTTTAAGATGCTGATTATGGCTTAATCAAGTTGTGGGTTATATTCATGTTGATCAAAGTTTAAATCAACTCTTTTTACCTCAACTTTCGCTACTTATTGATATAGCCACTTTAAGTGTTGAATGAGTGATTTTGGTGTTTTGTGTCATTGGTTCCGCTGCTTGGAGAGTTTACTGGATCGGTACGAATTTTATAGGGACCTATGTAGGGTTCTGCCATTGTTTATTACTACTAGCCTGAGTTGGTATTATTTACATTATTGCTTGCTCTTTAATGCTACTCTAGTTTCTATCTTCTCTGAAGTTCTTTTCTATTCCTTATCAAATTAATGTTAAAAGATTTGTTAAACTTCACCTCATGAACCATTAGTTTATGTTCTTTTGGAGCGACTTACTTATAATCCCCTTTATTAGCTTAGCTGTTCTGACCTTAATTCGAAGCATTATGATTCTATGAATGGGATTATTCCATATGAAGGAAAGGACTAATTGGGTTAGATTCTCTAATTTAGGAAGAAAACTATAAATTCTATAGTCTCTAATTATTATCTTCTGATCTAAGTTACTACTTAGGCTATAATTGGACATTTTACTCTCCAGTTTCAATTTAGGATTCCAAGCTATCTCTATTATTTAGATTTACTAGATGCTAACTTAACAAGGGATCTTAAGTAAATTACGGCTGAGTGAGAATTAACTGTCTGATATCCTTATTTTCTTCTATTAGCTGAATGTTTTAGGATTCATTATACTTATGACCTCTCATCATGTGTAAGATAGATTATTACTCCAGGGTGATAGAATTGTTATTATATTGAAGACCCATACCTTCATATCGAGGATGATGTCGAAGATTTTCATTTTTAGTTGTTACTGTTTCAAATGTCCTGACCAAAGTTTTTGATGAGTTGCTATCAGGTGTATCAATTCTTATCTAATGTACTATTTCCCCTATTATTCCCTTTTTCGTAAATTATCTCTTTATAAATGTCTCTTATGTATTGCTGACCAAGTCTTAATTTAGTTAAATAGCATCCTTACTTGGGTCACCTGTGAGCATTAGCAGCATCATTTGATCACTGTTTCTCATTTCAGCTGGTTAACTTAATTTGCGATTCCGTTTATCCTATGTACGATTTTGCGACTATTGCTAATTACTATAAGAATTTTTCATCATGTCACCATTACTAGATGGTGAACCAATAAGTTTAGGTGAACTTAGAATTCTCTCTACTTCTTTCCTAGATTCCTATGCTGACATACCTCCTTCAATGTTGATCAAGGCCTATTAGCCAGATAAAGCAATATTTGAATGCATTTTTTCAAGTTCTTTTTGGGACTTTTATAGTCTTTATTGTAGTGGTGTAGTATTACAGGATTAGTCTTAAATAGTACTATTTTTCTTGGTTGCAAGATTTGACTTCTTATATTTTCTGTTGCCACTTTCAGTCCTGGGTCTTGCTCCAATTTTTAGATTTGACTCATCACTGACTAATATTTGATCATTATTAGGGTTTATGTTTGCAGATAGTAGCTATAGATTAGTTTGACTCTCACTTTAATAGTTGAAAGAGCAAGGGAACATTTATTGCTCTTCTTATGATGCCTTTCTTGATTTTAGTCCTCTAGATTTAGGCCTATACATCTCTTTAGACCTGTTTTAGAGCAGATTTTTCATATCCTTTTAGCTGCCATTAACTGCCTATTTATACAACTGTCTTTTTTCAAACATAGAACATAGACCTTTATCTTCCCTACAATCAATATGTCAATCCAAGTGAATACTTACTTCCACTTCTTTCTAAAAATCTCAACAAATGCTCTTCTCTCATAGAAAGTGGGATTATGCTAAAAAATGCTATCATACTAAATGTGTCAGTTATCATAATATTTACTTCTTCTTGAGTTATTTATACATTAGTTGCAGTCTTAGGAGTCTACCCTCTGATTTGGTTTGAGGATCTATCCAGCAAATTCAGAATGCCATTTTAATGTTCAATTAACTCATCCAATCGCATCTGCTTGAAATCTTTAGGGATCATATCAATTTATTACTGCCCCCCACGATTAACTTATCTTCTAAAGCCTCTTACCCCACTTCTCTGACTATTCTTGGATGAGTTTTACTTTTCTAATTATTTTTTAGCTTATTCTAGTTCTTCATTAAGAAGTTCATTTCTTCTATCAAACTTACTTGAGATTACATAATTAGTAGTTCTGATCTTCTCGTTGAAGAATATTTTTTTCTTTTCCATTTATATCTTTTGAATAGCTTCCAGTTCATTTTTATGAAACAACTCAAATGATAGTTGTGATAAATCATCACTTTCATTTACACTGTCGAACTCTTCCATGGTTATTCTTAGATTTTCATTAGGTCTTGGCTGTTCTTATGATTTTTATCTTTACACATTAGAAGTGTTTGCTACACTTCTATTATGCATGCTTGTATTCTTCTAGCTCTTTGGCATTATCCTTTACTTTGGATTAGTTCCATAATTTTCAATGAAGTTAGTGATAAAGAAAGTGTCCTTATCTTTCTCCTCCTATCTTCTTTGTAAGTATGCATTTGGATTTCCACTTTGAGCCCTCTTCACCTTTTGCCTCTGCATAGATTATTTACGCTTTTATCCTCCAAATATCTATTTTACTTCTTCTGTCAGTGGCTAAGCCAGTATAATTTTATCGAAGTTACTTAGTCTTCTTTACATCATATCAGATTCTTTCTAACTAATCATTTGCTTTTAATCGTTTTCAATCATTTTTTCTATCACCTATTTCCTTCGCTATATGATGCTAGAATGCCCCTTGTCTTCCTTCACATCATTAGTATTTTTATTTTGGTAATGATTTTATGATAAATCAGAGGTTCTTGCACTCTAATATGTTGTCATAGTTTTGAAGTTATCACCAGCATTTAAGATCTGATGGTCTAATCAAGCTTTGTCTAGGGTTTCTAGAATCTTGTATTTTTGCTAAATAGCTTTCTGGCTGAACTAGTCCTAAGCAACCAACATCATAATTTTATTATTGCTCTTGATGTTGTTTAGTTTCAATGGCATTGAAAATCTAGAAGAAACTCCATTATTTCCTGCTCTACTCAGCTGATCAATCAATTGAGGATTATAATCATCACTAATATCATTTATCAGCTTGACGCCGTCTAGATTGGGGTGTGAGTTAGGCCAATTATTTTGTGTCTAGAAATTATTATTGGATGAATGAGGTTGTTAGGTGAGTAATTATGTCATTTTAATTTTTAGATGAAAAATTTAAGATAACTTTCAAATTAAATCAAAAATATATTTCCTTGCTATTAAATTTAAAACTATAGCTATTTATTGGGGTTTTGGGGTTTTGGGGTTTTGGGG